TATTTGCTTAGTGGCATTAAACCAACAGAGTTGTTAAGAATCTGATGACTGTAACAAAATATTATTACATATCAGTAGTCACAAATTACTCTGTTGTTAGATAACAAGCAGAAGAGAGCTGGTGGTGGTTTGAAAAAATTTTAAATGACTGGCTGTGATTCTAAAGTATATTTTTCTTTATTTTTGTGTAGATATTTGGCCCAGTTATGCAGATCCTAAAGTTTGATTCCCTTGATGACTTACTGGATAGAGCAAACAAAACCATGTATGGACTTGCGGCTAGTTTATTTACGAAAGATCTTGAGAAAGCTCTTTATTTCTCTAGTGGACTGAGGGCAGGTTCAGTGTGGTAGGTCCATTTACTATTTAATAATACTTTAGCTTTTGATGTTAAGAATAAAAAGCTGAAAACAATAGAGAAAAAAAAAATGTGATGAAAGAGTTAATACTGTATTAAAAAAATCACCATTTGTAAACAAGCAAAAACAATACCAACATTTATTATATATAACATACAAGCCTATTAGAATTATTCTTTAAAAATTAACAAAACCATGAACATAATAAAAAAAACTTATCTCTCAAACATTTTTATATGCAAACTTGTACTGAGGAAACTGAGTATAGACAATCCACCTGGTCAGCTTTTGCTTGTTCTATTAAGTTATAAAAAAATATACGACTCATGCAAAACGAGGTATTTTGTTAATTTAACAAAAACAGTTCGACTTAACTTCGTTAGGAGGCTCATTCATAAAGGAAAACTTTCCTCTTGTGCGTTAACGTTTTCTACACGGTTAACACTAATAAGAACTTACATTTGGAATAGCATTTTAATAAAAAATAAGCCTATTAATTATTAGCATGCAACTATTTCCTTCTTCGTACATGTTCTTTCAAATGCACCAGTTACAAAACAAAATAGCTGTTTTTAGCAATTCTATAAACATTATTAGGATTTTATCAAATTTAGAAAAATAGTTACAATGTATTTAGTAAAAATCAACAGTAAAATAAAGATTAAGGATTGTTATAAGTTGGTAACAAAATTCATAATACAGTTATTGTTCTTATTTGTAGTACAATATTTTTTTCTAATTATATATCATTTTGTCATGCCCTATTTAAGATAAGTATCCAGTCATCAACTCTCTCAACTAATATTATCATACTGTACAGCTTTCAAAGAATGAAAAAAATAACTTGAAAAAGATTTTAAACACATTTTTAAGTACCTCAGAATTGAAAAAAAAAAAAAATCGTGTATATTTCAACCATATATATTATATATGGTTTAGTCCAAAGAGGGATACCATTTAATAACAATCCGAAGAAACACACATTTACGAACATGAAAAATGCCCAGGAAGAGAGAGAGATGAGACAATTTTCAAACTCAACAAGAATTATATACGAGTGGAAGACATAAACCTTCTGCAAGCTTCTCATGTCCATTTCAACTGTTCTTCTCTGGAATTTTCATTGTCACCTAGAAGACAAAAATAATCACATAAGAGCATGATTAAAGCACAGAAACATAAAAAAAGAGAACATTTCAGAGTTCATTATGTATGAAACCAAGTTAATCACTGTGAAATTGAATAATTAGATTTTTTTTATCTTTAAGTGTGTAATTAACTATTAATTTAAAGTATTCCTATTTTAAATAATAATACTTAGCATTTTATCTAAATAATAAAATAAAATTTTAAGTTTAACTTTTTTTTTTTGTTCAGCTTGGTTCCTGGAACCAACCTCGTAACCATTTTGTGCTTGTTGTAGTTTCATGCTATAACTTAGCCTTTAAAAATTTTCCACATGGAGGATATGAAACAAAATAATCTTTTTAGGTTTTATATATACACACACACATTGAAAAATCATAAGTTACGACATCAATACCATAGAATTACACTACAATTTATCAAGCTTAGAAACAGATGTATTTTAATCTTTAAAAAAAAATATTAAATTTCGAGCAGACTAAAGACACCCTACTCATTGAAATCTTGGTTCAAAAGAAAGAAATATCATTCTGAGAATTTAAATGGCTGAGAAAGCCACTAGGGGACATTCTGAACTTCTTATTGGTTATTTATGTCATATATAGAAGTTTATATAAGGGAACATTTCCAAAAATGAAAAGAGATGAGCGGGATGGCACTGTGTTTGATTTATTGCATGAGCAATATCTAAACAAATATAAAAGATAAGACGTTCTTATTTTATATTCTAGCTTGTTAATATCGGTAATTTGAGTTTATAATTGGTATGAAACTATAGACTTAGTATTTTGATTTCACAAATATCTAATTTGAATCAGTGTTGTGTTCAACATACCACGTGACACACCAAAATTGATGTTCATCTGTGTTTTTTAATATTTATATTTAAATTAAGAAATTGAGTAATGTATAGTACTAAAATTTGAATTATAATCTATAGTTTGATACCAAGCTTATTGACTTAAATTCATGAAATAGTAGTTCAATAAAATTTTGAATGAGAGTCAACAAACGAGATGATGTGGCCTTTCACCCGTGATCCTTCTCAAAAGGGTTAATTGTGTGAAAACAATTTGATTGTAGATTTTATAAAAAACTTAAGGTCGGTGATTACAATTCTATTAAAAGTCACAGATTTTAAATATTTGGTTATCATACTTCATCAAATACAAGGTTTTGGCTCTAAAAGATGTCTTCCTAAATTTTTAGTTTTTTTGCTTGTATACATAAATCATATGTTTAAAAAACTGACAACAGTAACATAAATAATGCACTAACAACACCATTTTACACTTACTGTTTTGACTTCAGTGTAAGCCTGTAATCCATACTCTCCAAGCTCACGACCAATACCAGACATTTTGAAGCCTCCAAAGGGAGCTTGAGCTTCTAGGACATCGTAGCAGTTTACCCTATAAAGAACATTTTAAATTTCACAATGATGTTAACTCTGATAATGTTGCAAGAGAAATGAAATTTTACAATGGTAGATTACAATATTGTAGGAATTTTAAAAGTGGATTGTCCCATCACAAGCAACAAACACAAACTAGCATTCTTTTATAATGTTTGTTTTTATTTGAATTAGATTATATATCTAGCCTACTAGCAGACATAAAATTTCCCTTCACTTTTCCCCGGTGACTGGTACAAATAATACAAGCCTAAGTATAATACTCTAATACCGTGGTTTCCAAACTTTTTCCCCTGACAACACCCTGACCCACTCGCCTCGAGTTGCACAACACTCCTGCTACCACATGCAATATTTTTTTTTGTAGTATTTTTTTTTTTATATTCTTAATTATTCTTCATTTGGTGAAACTCTCGCAACACCCCCTAGCAACCATTGCTGTAATAATAAAACACAATTACCAGCTAATATTGCAAAAATCAGGGAAGAAAACCATCTGTACCTTTTCAGCAATACAGTTGATTTGTACTTTATGTGTTGTATGTTGCTTACAATACGATTTCTTCAATTTTAAAATAAAACTCAGATTACTACACTATGCTTTTTTACACAATTACAGGCCTCCCAGCAGTATCTACTGCTGCTGCCAGCCTATAAAATATAGGCTAAACTTGACAAATTAGAGGCTGGAATTGAATAAAATACATGCTATTTTAGCAAAATCTCTCTCACGAAGAAACTATACTATAATCAATCAAGTCCTGTAGAATTAAAAATGGGTATAAATTTGAAACGTAGTTGTTTCCCACCTTCTACACGAGGATAATCTTTCAAATCTCGCACTTGAGAATATTCGTGTATCACTGGCCACAATGAGCATCAGCTTTAGGGAATGTGTATGGCAGCTACAACTGAGAATGCATATTACATTTTAAATGAAGAGCACAATAGTTAACACTGATACCTCGTATCTTCCTATGTTGTTTGAAACCTTAACCCATTCACCGAGGCTGGGACATGTATTTCCCAGTGCTCCTCCCCCCTCGCACTGCAACTGCAACGAATGATTCCCATTGTTGATGCTGGTTACGCCTTCCTCTGTTGGGTCCAAGTTTATCATTCGTCACACATTTGAACACTACTTCACTCACTTTCACCATCTTCTAAGCTATCTGAGTCAAGTGTATCAAGCATACTTACATGGTAATTAGGGTTACTACTCCTGCTCTAGCAATGTGGACATAGTTGTCATAAATTATGCATAGGCATCTTATTGGTTATTGAAGGGCTGAGGGAAAAACATTGACAGAAACCATATAGCAACATTAGGTGGGATTCCATTAAATACATTCCAACTCATTTTAATCCCACACATCACGCATAATAATGGGAAATATTTATCCCAGTCGTAGCGTGAAGGGGGGTTGGAGCACGGGGCAATATACATCCTAGCCATAGCGAAAGGGTCGATTATTTTCTTGTATGTTTTCTATCTTAGGAAGGACATGTGCAGTTTTCCTGTACAAAAATCTTTTAAG